TCTCTAGTACTTTCAGCATTGCCATTGATAATCAGTTGGATTTGCGTAATATGTGCAACATCGACCACTTGGCTTTACCTTTTCAGAATTTTTGCAGGTAAAAAAATATATTTGTTAACGGATATTTATTTTGAAAAATATTTTTATATGCTAGTATTTTGTGAAATAAATGGTAACAGTATTTACAATAGAAACGTAATTGAATCACAGAGTTATTTAATTTTACATCTGTCAATTTTCTATGAGTAAATAAATATTAATTTTTTTCAACAGAAAAAATATTTATTATAATATAGATAACAGTAAAATACTGTTATCAGTATAAATAATAATTTATCATATTTATAAGATGGATTGAATTGCGTTTATGTTAAAAGTTTACACAGTATTATATGTTAATATTTTATTATTCTTTAATCACATATTGATAAAATATTAATTAGAAATATGTTTCAAAATGAAAATACCATTAATAAAAACTCTTCAAAACAACCTGACAATTCTATATATATATACAATATATATATGTATCTTCTGCATTAATAACAGGTACGTCCTTGGGTATGTTCTTTAGTTGTTTCCCGATGTTCATTGGTGAAATATCAGCAGCACATATCCGTGGTGCCTTAGTCGGTCTAGTGATTAATGGTCTACCCATTGGCACTCTGATTGGAAACATAATGGGTCCCCAGATGTCGAGCAAGTGGTTTGGTGTCATTAGCCTCCTGGTGACTTCGGTTTACGTTCTAACGTTCCCATGTCTACCCAAATCACCATACTACTTGATACGACGTAATTCCATGGAGAATGCGGCACAGTCTATTCGTTTTTATCATAGAAAATCAGACATAATGGATGAAATGAACGCTGTCGAGATGTTTATCAAAGAATCGGAAGTCGTAACTTTTCGAGAAAGATTCAAATTAATGGCAGAACCAAAAAATCGACATGCTTTTCTTATCATTATTTTACTATTCTTTTTTATGCAATTCAGTGGACTCAATTCACTTATTTTTTATATGGAAATTATTGTTCGCAATGCCAAAGTCACATTTATATCACCGCCAACCGTAGCGATAATCGTTAGCATAAGCGGTACCTGTCTAATTATGTCTTCTTTTTCATCAATCGATTTGAAAGAAAAAGAAAAAAAAATATGTTTATTTTTGAATATTTAATTTCAGCTATAATTTCTGGCTGGATAAGTATATACACTATCGATCGTTGTGGAAGAAAATTTCTTTTAATAATATCGAGTGCCAGCGTAGCAATCAGTATGATCTTGCTAGGAATACATTTTTATTTATTAAAATCTGGTTACGATTCTGATGTCATTCAACCATTGCCAATATTTTCTCTAATAATGTTCTCGATGTTTTGCATTGGTTTAGTTCCTGTACCGAGTACACTACTTGGCGAACTTTTTCCAATAACACTAAAAACCATAGCAGGTTTTATCGGCAGTTTTGTATCAGCATGTTTTGCTTTCATCTCTAGTAAAACTTTTCAACCATTGGTGAATCTAATGACGGAGCAATACGTCTTCTGGATGTACGCGAGTATAATGGTCTGTTCTATTTTCTATTCGATGTTCTACGTACCCGAGACAAAAGGAAAGACGTTGAAAGTATGTCGCATGCTGAAACTGAATTTTATCTTAAGTTTTTATTGCTACCTCTTAAAATGTCTTTAAAATTACGATCTTTTGTAAACAGGAAATTCAAGTATTGCTTGAGATAAGAGAAAGTCACGTTGATAGAAGAAATCAAACAACCGCACATACAGATGAAATAACAAATTAAATAAAATATTTTACCGATATTCAATTTCAACATATTTTTTCTTTTTTTCTTTATTTTCTATATTTTGTATTCTGTTATCATGTGCATAGAGTAAACCAATGTATATTTGTATTCTGTATAAAATATGTAAATAGTATATTATGCAACTAGTGCAGAAAGTTGTCAATTGCCCACGAGAGCTCATTCGCTCGAGTGAGCAATCGACAACTTCGCACTAGTTGCATATACTATTTTTTATTACGAATGCGGGGACATATTTGGTACATAATTGGGGTCCAGGGGCAGAGCCCCGGCGGGGGTCGGGGAGGCGAAGCCCCCCCCTCTCCACAAAACAATACTGAAAAAGTTAAAAAAATTTAAGTAAATTTATTTTTTTAACAATCAAACACTAATACAATACATTAATACAACACATCAATACAACACATTAATACAAATTGCGAACAATCAAGTACAAATTAAACAACATTTTTTAATTAGTTTTACTACCGTTTAAATTAATTGTTATGTTTGAACAATTTGAGAACGAGATATTTAAATTTTGGAAATTTTTTGATGATTGCTCACGAGAGCGAAGTTGAGCTCACGAACGAAGCGAGCTATAGCGTATTCAAACAGGAAATAAAATAAATGAAGAACTAAATATTAATCTTATCGCCTACAATATTGACACTTTGATTGTGTTCTTTTTAACGTCAATTTTCGTGTGGTAAGTATAATATAGGTGCGACAAGTGAACTTTTCGCACTTAAATTGACATTTATTTTACTCAAAACGCGTGTTGTTATTGTAAAGTAGGCAAACAGCGTCTTTCCGACCTCAATAGCGACCGAAAAGATAGTACTTTCCCCGCATGAGTAATAAAAATAAATATATGCAATGATATAATATATACAGTTTAAAAAGAAGTTATCCATTTTAGGTAATAGTAAATATATTATCATAGAATCGATGATAATCATTCATGTGATATACTTATATATACTTAGGTGGGTGAATTAAAAAAACAGCCGTAACAATTTTTGTTTTAATCAAATTTACTTTTATCTTGAAGAAAAAATAATAGGTTTTGCGTGTGTTTGCTGAGGTTCGAAACTTTCCAACTTATTTCTCAAAAAAATGTTTTTTTTTTTATTTTAATATCAATAAGTTTCTTATCAAGAATAATTGAACTACTTGTGTAAACTCATTAAATAAAGTTATATTAAACTATACATTATTGTTACCAACAATTTTTGTCAGACGAAAGAAAAGATCACGTTAATGAATGACTATGGTCTTTCTGAAAGTAAACATTTTTATCTAACGAAGATGATGAAATGTGAATAACATTTTCCGATAAAATGCTTCCATAATTTTATGGCGTCAGTATGAACGTTATGACATATTATATAGATAAATAACGTTTAATTCTTTCAATTAATACATCTCTAATTAGATTTTTTTTAGAAAATTTTGAGTAAAATGTAGATTATGTCAGAACTGCTAATAATGCATATTACCAAATATCGAAAAAAAATGTTTTTTCCATTTTAACTTCGTGTATTTTCCCCAAATTATTAATTGTCCAGATGAACACACGAAATGTTTTTCACACTCGAATACACAATTAGGAAAGTAGGTGATATATATGAAAAATAATGATAAATTATACTTCATTTGTTAAACTCAATGAATCATTTTAAAATGCAAAAAGTTGACCAGAATGTTTATGAGTATAAATTATATTTATCGGTAATTTTATCAATTAATACAAAAGAAGTATTATTTAATTGCTATGTGAAATTTTTTATTATTTATATTTGTAATACAATATAATCTTATCAATAGCTGTAGTATTATCCAGAGTAAAATGTTTAAATATATGTATTATCAAAATATTTTATTTGTTTGTAATTAGATTATAAAACTTTAAAGAAGAAAATGAAATAATTGAAAAAATGTTTTTCACGAGATATAAAGATTACCTTCGTTTTTTTTTTTTTTTTAAAGAAAACTATATATATTTTTTACAATATTCTTATAGAGCATGAAGAAACCTATAAAAATAATCTACATAACCATGTTATTCTGTCCATTTATTCTCGAGATATTCATATATAAAAATAATTAATTTGTTCACCTTCAATATTTATCATTTGCAATAATATGAAATAATATTTGATACAAAATTTGTAAAACATAAAAAAAGACATGTAGCGATGACAATTTCTTTTGTATTGGTGAAGGTTTAGAGATTCTAAGATCATCTTTATTTTTTAAAATGGTATGACCCATTGTTTTTACTACTTTACGATAGCCAACATTAAGACGATTTTAGTAAATTATTATTAAAATCATTTATAATAAACTGTAATAGTAAAATAAAGGTTTTTACATGACAGAAAATATTCAAAATTGTTTTATTGCTTATTAATATTCCCTATCATTACATTAATATATAAAAGTGTAATTTTGAAATTATTGAAAAACGTAAAGTTTTATTTTGTCCATTGATATGCCCAGTTATCACAGTAGTAATAGAAATATTTTAATCGAATAAAGTTTAAATTCATGGTTATTAGATTTGATAGAGATATCAAATCTGTGATTAATTTAAAAAAGAATAATGTCTTCAATAACATAACAAATAGATCATCTCAATTAACTGAAATTTGGATTAATTGGATGATAAATCTTTAAAAAGTGCTACTCCAAGGCCTTCATAGTTAAAGGCTCATTTCTGATTTGAACAAATCAAAGATATTTTTGAAACATTAAATTAAACACTTATAAATACATTACGTAACTTACTTACGTACACCCACACATATATATTTACCTTTATATCCGAAGTTATATCCGAGTATAAAAAATGTATATTTTTAGAAAAAATCGTATCATTATCAATTATCGATAATATAACAGATAATTCTGAAAATTATTAAATCTTATTTAATAAATCACGAACTCATACTTTAGTAGATTATCTTATTAGTGCGTAAAATTTAAAGTTAAGCACTTTATTATATATTCTTGAACAAAATGATATATATATATTGAGAAATTCATTCATTTAAATAAATAATTATTATCGTATCAAAACTAATAAATCATAAAATATTAATAAATATTTGCTAATGAGTGCAAAAAGTGCTCAAATATTTTCAGCTTTATCGCTGCTTCTTATCTAGATGGCACTTCAATCGAAATTATATAATGTGGTCAAATTTGATGCTCAAAGCTAGCGTCAAGCGTCAGCATAAAATCGCACCTTGATACAAAACAAATTTATCATTCAAGACTTCATCATTAAAGTGGGGGAAAATATTAACACGAATAACTGGAATAGATAATATGTATACTTTTCGAACCAAAGTATTCAACACTAGTTGAGCAGCAGTTGTATGTGAAAGATGTCTAACACTAAGAACACGAATATAAATATGAATAAAAAGGAGAAAGTGGAAAAAAATGTTACATGGCCTCAATGGATTGGTGGAATTGGTGGTAAGTTAAATTAAAATGATTCAAGTTTAAAAAAATATATATTTATTAATCTATTACGAATTTGCTTATATTTTTTCTTTTTTTGTTTGTTTCTTAGCAATTTTAATTCAAATAATTATTTATTTTGAATTACGTCAAACGTTTTAATTAGTTCATCGATCTCTTATAATTTGTTTGTTTCTTATTTTATTATTATTTTATTTTATTTTTGTATTATCTTATTTTATTTTGTTCTTATTAATACTATTTTATTTTTTTTATTTTTGTTCCAGTTGGTCTTCAATTAATGCAAATAGGATTAGTGGCAGGATGGTCATCGCCCTACATAGCACAATTATTATCCGGTGAATCGATCATATTGATAACTAAACAAGAAGCAACCATAATTGTATCGCTTGTAAACGTGGGACGAATAATTGGTGGAATTCTTGGTGCAGTTTTTGTTGCATACTTTGGCAGTAGAAAAACAATATTATTTTCCAGTGTACCCATATCATTGTGTTGGATTTTTAAAATAATCGCGAATAACATTGTTTGGTTATATTTGGGAAGATTTCTCGGTGGATTTTATTTGGGAGTGTGTTATACTTGTTTTTCATTGTATTTAGGTGAAATCGCCGATTCAAATATACGAGGTGCATTAGTATTAGTTGGTATGATCGGTATGTCATGTGGTTATTTGTTAATGTCCATCATGGGTCCTTATTTATCATTAATATTATCATCTTCCGTTTGTTTAATCTTAAGTACTATTTATATGTTATTATTTATTTGGTTACCGGACACTCCTCATCATTTGATGATCCAAAAAAGATTTGATAAAGTTAAAAAATCAATTCTATGGTATCATCGTAATTCTAACGTCAATGTAGAATTTTTAAACTTGAAACAATTTATCGAATCTTCCTGCAGCGAATCTATCTGGCAAACCCTTCAAAAATTTAAGATACCGCAAATGAGAAAAGCATTGATAATAACGAACGTTTTATTTTTCTATACTCAATCGTGCGGTATCAATAACATAGCGTTTTATATGGAAATTATTTTGGAAAATGCTGAAGTGACTGTAATTAAACCATCCTTAGTCGTTATAATAATTGCAATATGTGGTATATTCGGTTGTTTGTTATCGATAAGACTGATCGATTATTATGGAAGAAAATTTCTGATGTGTGTCTCATGTTTTGCAATTGCGATATCATTGACAGTATTGGGAATACATTTTGAACTTTTGGAATCAGATATTGATCCAAATAAAATTCAATGGATACCAATAGCTTCGTTTATATTATTTCAAATTGCTGTATTTGCTGGATTATTACCGGTACCTAGTGCTATAGTAGGTGAAATCTTTCCACCTGATATAAAATGCGTAGCTGCCAGTATTTGCAGTATCAATGCAGCCATATTCGCATTCATATCATCCTCGACCTATCAATTCTTCATAGATTTGATGACCGAAAAGTTTACTTATTGGATGTACGCGATACTACTAATTACGGCAATACCAACTACGATTATTTTTTTGCCAGAAACTAAAGGGAAAACTTTGCAAGAAATTCAAGATCAATTGATGAGCAAAGGATCGAAAGAATACAAAAAGGTTAATATTAAAAATGAATTAACAATCATTTAAAGACAATTAATAATTATCTATACGACGTATGTGTCTATAATACTCTCAATTAATTATTATTTATTATTATTTATGTGTATATATGTATAAAATATACTAGTCATAATTATTACGAAAAATATTATAATTGTTCAAGAAAATAATTAAATATAGGATAAAATAAGTATAATAATAAAATAGATGTATATATAATAATAATAATAATTGTATCTTTTTCATTCTAAGAACACTTTCTTCTTATAATTTAGAAACGTTGTATGTATGTATAGTACTATTTCTCTTAGCTATGACGTAAAGCTGCGTAATGTCGGGATGGAACTCGGCCAGTTTCATATTTTACAAGGTAATATTTCAACTACACGCTCGTTGACAGTATTAAATGTAACATAGCTAGAGGGCCACAGTGGCACCGTGGAAATTGGACACTACCTTATCTTGCACAGGTCATTGCCGATGACCCCTTTTATCAAGGCGAATGAACCCCATGAGAATCAATAGACCACCACTAACCACCTTTTTCTACTTTCTTCTTTCTTTTTCATTTCCTTGATATTATCTATTTTAATGATCGTTATTTATCCTTCAACTTGTTTCTTATCGCTTTTACTCATTCACACACATGCACATACGTATACACATAAAAATATTTTATCTTATCATCTTACAGAAATATATTCATAATAATATTTATTTATTTATATAAGTTTTTTGCATTAAATACATTTAAATCGAAATAAAATAATTAAGTAGAAAATTAGTCCTATAATTGTATTTTTCTTTTTTTTTTGTAAATGACGGCTCTCTAAATTAGAAAAAAATTATTCATTTGTAGATTATTAACTCGATCGAATATCCATTTATTCTCTAATCGTAAAATAAAGAAGACAATTCATTGCTCCAGATATATACATACATGTGTATGTATATAGAGAGATATGTGTGATGTATATATCTATGTTTAATGTATATACTTACATATATATCCTATGTAATTCGAGATTGGAGAGAAAAGGTAGCTAATAAATGTCATTTCAGGCCGATGACATTATTTGAAATGAAGCGAATTTTCGAGTTCACGGCATTGGGAGTTGTGTCAAACTAATACTCTTCTAGTTTTATCAACACGTCAAAATTTATCGCAAATAAATTTAATCTGAAGCGAAGTTATGCATCAAACAAGCTTTTCCGAAATCATGATAAACGGTTAAAGGTCAAGAGAGAAAATCTGGGCATTATTAAGTCGTTAACGTTCTAACCTAATGCAGTAGGACGAAATTATGGTATGTAGAATTTTCATTGTGTTCATACTGTATCTGTCTTTTCATAAATGTATATACGTGTATGGGTCGTGGTCTATGTGTATACGTGTAAAACAATATTTATGTATATCTCTCTCTTTCTTTCTATGTATGTGTGACTATGCGCGAAGGCGGTCGTGTGTAAAGTTTAATTAAAACGCGTGTGCCTTTTTATGCAACATCCGGCGATGTAATAAGTAGAAAGCAACGTTGCTTCTGCTTCTTCGTTGGGCGTTTAATTAAATTAATGAATCCGTTCCCATCGCATATTTTTGTCTAGATGATGCCGAAAGTGCAAAGACCATGCGCCGGTACGTGGACAAAATTTCAAAGACCGTGTTTTTAACTCGTTCATCTACGAGAAATCCATCCGATATTTTCTTTTTTTCTATACTCATTTTTCAATCCACGTATCGGAAAGATAGGAAAAAAAAGAAGAAAAAAATACCAGAGAGAGAGAGAGAGAGAGAGAGAGAATATGTTATGAGTGTTCTAGCTTGGAAATATTTAAATCTATGCACTCTCTCGGTATATTGTGTAATTAATAATAAATAAAATTTTCGTGAAATAAATGATAAATGAATGATTAATAAACCATTATCAAATTTCGACGAGTTATTGTACTTGTGTATTATTTGAATGTTAATATTTACAATATATTTTATTAATTGATATAATATAGAATATTTTAAATATTTATTACATATCAATATCATCGATTTACAATTATTGATATTATAAATAACAAATGAAAATTTCAATTCGTTATGATAAAAGAAAAGAAAAATATTCATTTATCTAATGATGATGCATCATTAATTTCACCGACGATGAACAACGACCTAAAATGACCGAATAATAAAGTTAGTCGGAAATATAAAAGAAAAGAAATGTAAAGAGAAAAATCAAATAATACCTATATATATATATATATAGAAAAAAATACGCACAGGTATAATATGTACGCAAAGTATTAAGAAAATATATGTATACCTACACTTTCTCCTCTAAAAATAAAATAATGTAGAACACAGAAAATATTTTATCGGTACGTATTAAATACCGTAATATCCGAGTAAATAAGCAAGTCAACATCGTTAATAAGTACAATGCGAAAAGCTTGTAGAAATATCTCGACAAAATTATTCCATCGTAATAACTGATTCATTCTCTACGTGTTTGCTTCCGTTTTGCTTGCAGGATAGGTTGATTAAAATAAAAAATTAAAAACAAAAAATATATATATAATCTATATTCTATAAAAATATATATATATATATATTTGGATATCCCGGCCACGTATTGCTGTAGCTTTGTTATAAAATGTTAATTTAATATAATTCTTAACTATTAAGTAAATTATAACAACACACAAAATAATACCACAATTACAATAGAATATATAAAATAATAATAGTCGAAAAAAATATAAAAAGTAAGGTTAGTTGTGTCATATGTAAATCTGAAAAAAACGTGAAATAATTGAATTATAATACAGCGCCATCTATTGAAAACTTACAGTACCTAAAGATCTAAATAACCTATAAATAATAAATCCTTAAATTAGCAATACAAAATAAAAATAATCGTAAAAAAAAGCTATCCTATATTCTAAGTTAAAAATAATCACACAAAATAAATAAAATTTCATTAAGTTCGGTTCAGTAGTTTCGAACAATGTTACTTATATATATAAGAAAAAAAATTATAATTTAAGATAAGGCTTTTTTAATTTTTTTTTTATTTTAATACATACACCTACACACACATAGACACACACCAGACGCGAAAATGACGACTCAGTATCAATCTGTCTCTGTCTCTCACTCACTCTCACAATTTCCGCGGGAAGTTAGTTAAGCCACATAACGAGCCGAGAGTAATTACTGGACGAGTAAGAGTAATTCGATTGTTCTCGTACAGGTCCTACTAGTCCAGAAGCCCATACTCGTAGAACTAGCAATCGCATTAGAGCTATCTGCGAGCAAACCAAGTTAATTAGTCCAACAGTCTGACTGACCTCCTTCCGTCATTCGACTTTAAAAAAAAATATATATAATTTCATCAGGAAAATGGTGCCGATCGCGTAACCCTTCGCTTCACTTCATCCAACTAAGAATCTAAGTCTTGCACCTGGTACTATTAACGTGTTAACATATTGAACTTACGTACACGATCAGTCAAATACTATTATTATTCAATTTTCTATTTCAAGCCTACGTTCAATGTTAAATATTGTTTTTTCATTGTTGACTTTTTTTATTTTTCTTTATTACGAATTCTAGTAATGTCTGTATTAACACTTTCTCATATTTATTCAATACTATCCAAAAAAAGGTGTTTTCAACGTTTCTCCGAGAAGTCAACAACATATGGTTTTTGTTTCTTCAAACGAGTACGGTATTCATTTTACCAAACATACTCACGTTGTTTGACTTTAGTGATAAGTTGCGAGTTCGATATCAAACGTAACTTTACTTTACTTTAATTTACTTTAAAAACATACYTTCTTTTGCTACTATGTATTTAAAGAATAAAACATAATTATCATTAATTGAAATATAAAAAAGTGACTAATATAATAATAATATTATAAAACATATATGTGTATATACAGGTTTAGCAATGATTACATTTATGGTTCTGTAATTATTAATTTTTTGAAGCAAAAACTTCTTTAGAATGGGTGTGATTTGAAAAAATGAAACGTGGTGATGTAGTGGGGGAAAGAAACGGCCTTAATCTAAGTAAGAAGAGAAAAAGAGACAAACATATAGGATTGAGCCTGCGAGAGAATGAGACAGAATGTAGCTATACATATAGTTTTTCTTATTCTCGGTCTCCTCTCTATGCTCTGCTTCGTAGTTATCGCTCACGGTTGTATATTTGTGTGTTTGTGTGTGACTGCATACTACGAAGCATGCACTCATATAATTTCGATCTTAATTTAGAATTTGGAAAGCTATAATTTTTGTCAGCTACTCCCATCCCAAGATCATTACCGGTTCCCTTTGATATATATGGTAAGAATATTATAATAAAAAAATCCTACAATTATCTTACTCTTGATACTCTGCATTCTTCTCATTCTCTCGAAACTTAATTTTTTGAAGGTTTCACTTTTAACACGTGTGATCTGCACATTCGATTTTTTAAAAACACTCTTTTGTTTTTAATGAACAAAGACTCTTATTTTTGTGCTTATTTTTAAGCTTATAAATAGAAATCAAAAATTGGCTAGTAATAATTGATTATACAACTAAGTTTTTTATTTTTCTTTTATAATTATATATATAAATATAAAAAATGATTTAGGTTATTTTATTTTTTTCCTTCGATTTTATGAGAATTATTTGTAATTGCGAATACTTTGTTTTTCTATTGCTATTTAATAAATTATTTTATTTATTATATTTAAACTATTAAAAGATTATTGGTATCAATTAATTTTCCTTAAATTGTTGGTAGATTTGGTGTTAAAGGTGTTAATAGTAAATCGTAGAATATCTAACATAAGATTTTTCTTCGTTCGCGTGACGACGTCATATAAAAGACAATAAAGCAACCGCGATCACTCATCCGTAATTTCTGTTATCTCTTTTGTCTGTTGGTTTCCTTTTCTTTTCTTTTTTACCACAGAGATCCATTAATTAGAAAAGTAATTAAAAAATTAGAAAGAAAGAAAAAGCATCAACGACGTTATCATTGATTTTTAAATGAGACAATTAAAATTCATAGATAAATATTGCTTCTTTTACATGCTCGTATAAACATTTGTATGTAATCCTACGTTGTCAATGAACCCACGTTATTCGACATTGAATTACCGTGAATGCATTTGCAACATATACTAACTTTGCTAATTGTAATTATTAAAATATTTTTTTCTGAATGTTCTTGTTTCTTTTTTCATTAAAAAAAAAAAAAATAAAAAAATTATTACTTTCCTATGTCAATAATTAAAGAAATAATTTTATTAACATTATTAATATTTTTTATTATTTATGAACACCCTGTATATTTTCTAGGATAACGAGTTTTCCCCATGGGGGATTTATCGGCTCTTATATTTTTTTTTTTCTAACGATATTTCTATCCCTTCGTAAACGAGTTTTCGAAAGTTATCTTCAAATTCAACGAACCTCAAGACGATCGTTTTCACTCTCGCTCGAAGAAAAAAAAAGGAAATAAATAAAAAGAGGCCAAAGAAAAAAAAGAGAAAAATTTCCCCTTATTTTCCGAGGGTTTTTGTTCTATCAGCACGATTTCCTTTATCTTTTATCAATGTATTATATATTATATTCTTATCTAGTACAAAAAATCAAAGACTCGCGAATGATGTTCGCATTGGTATGCGTTGAATCCAGTTAGAGGAACTATAAAAGATGAACGTGCTTGACGAATTCCGAATTTTCTTCAAATTTCTGACATATTGAAAGTCAAAGGAAATACTAGCGATCATGGGCACGCAAAAAAAAGTCGATACATTTTATTGAATTGGTCAACGAATAATAACGTTAATGTTTACCGGTTTATATTTAAATTAATAAGATTTACATTTTTCAATATTTTATATCTAACAAAGGTATCATCAGAATTTTCAAATACCAAATTTTTTGTTAGTTGTAAGAGTTCATACACTGTTAAAAAACAATAAGACCCAATACTCAATAGTTTGCAAGAAAAAAAAAGAGAGAATTTTAACATGTATATTTATGTACTACTTTGTTTCATGTTAAAAAGGGAAAATAAAATTTTTACAGTTTGATTCCGAAAAAAAGAATAAGAAATTATAGAAAAAATATACGCGAGTTAGGTGAAAAAAAGTTCTCAAGCCTAAAAAACGGCGATAAATTGAAAAATTGTTGGCCTACCAACCAAGAGGGTTGAAAAGTTCTGAAAAGTTCGAAAAAAGGAAACCCTAATGAACTACGATATAGCGTAGAGTTTAAAAACAAATTGATTCAATAGAATACCACATGAATAAAAATAAATTATAAACAAATAATTTTTGATTTATTTTATATTATATATATTTTAAATAAAAACAAGAATAATATACAATACTTTATCTATTAAAACATTGTAATATTTCAAATAATCAATTAACCAAGGATAAAATAATTTTTATATCGAAAATTTTCAATATTAATTATTATTGTTCGATCCAATGCAACGAATAATTCATTTGTTACGCTTTAAAATGTAACAATTTATTCTTACACAAAATATTACAATAATTCTTTCTCTCTACAAAGTTAATAACTCTGACATAATAATGCATTATTTTATCCATCAGTCAGAAAAAATTAAAAAAAGAAATACAAAACGAAAATAACAATAAACGCATATTAGACTTTGATATATCAGCTTGGTTACACATACACACACTCACATATATATATATATATATATATATCAAAATTAGATAGAAATACCAAATGCAATTTTCTAACGTGAATATCCTTTTGCCTTAGATATGAAAAAAAAAATAAATCCAAATGAAAAAACCTAGTCGTCTCGAAGACACGGATGATCGATGGTGAAGAGGATTAAAAAGAAAAAAAAAAGAAAAACTAAGAGGTACGACAAAAGAAAGATAGAGAGAGATGGGAATAGGGGGATGGAGGATGGAGGGTAAGGAAGGGTGGGGAATGTAGAAACCGAATCGGTGACCTACAATCGTGAAGAACGATTTTCAAAGATTCCTTGGGAACATCGTAGGTAGTAACATCGTGGTAGGATTAATGATCCGATAATGTACCTAGTGGTCCGATTAACTTTACATCCTTGGATTAACTTTACGATAGAAAGTAAATTCAGTGTAGAAATGTACAATTATATGGAGGGGGAGAGAACTTGGAAAGGGAACGGGAGTTGTAGCATTTTTACCGAACTCATTAAAATAACGAAAAAATTTGTTATTGTCAGAAAACTGTTCTGTTATTTTTCTCTATTCTTTTTAAATTCATTATTTTTAATAGAGTAATTTTAATTTTAAAAATAAAAGACACAATAGGTCGTGATTTTAAACGTCTAGGTAAACATTTCCAACGAATTTGAGCGAAAAATTTATCGTTTTATTTAATTTATTTGTTTAAAAATGATTATTAAAAATTGAACGTAATGCATATACTATATATGAGTTTAATAATCATAATGAGGAAAGTTTTTACAGATTTTTAAGATAAATGTGAAATAAAATTAAAGGTATTTATATTTAACGACTATTAAAATGACGGAATAAGAAGAAAAGGAAAAAAATGAGGTAAAAGAAAAAAAGAAAATAAATTAGAAAGAAGAAGAGAACGATAAAAACACTGTGGCAAGGATATCACGTTGACCCATTAGAACCCCATCAACCTAGAAGAAATCCCTTTGGGAATATATACCTTCATGCTGTTTTCTCCACAGAATTCATTTTCTCTAACGAACAAACATTTCCTCTCCTTGTATAAGACCTGGAAAATTTCTCCAACAATTTATACACATGGGAGAAAGTAGATTTATCATAATTTCAAGACAATTTTTATTCATTTGATTAGTTATTTTGATAATTTTTCCTTAAACAAATAATCAATAAATATATAGAAATATTTTTGAAAGTATACAAAATTAATTGTCAATATTTATAAAAGATAATTTAAAATTTTAGATCCTGGTAAATATTAATATTTAATAATAAATACTAATCATCTATTGATAAATAATTATTTTTCTCTTTATACAATATAATTATTAAATAATTATAATAATATAAGTAACAGTTTATTTCAGTTCATAACCTCAAAAAAATAAAATTGGTTTACAATTGTTTCTTTCCTTTTCTTCCCTTTTTAAAATACAAACTTTATTTTCTTTTTTTTTTTTTAATTTTTACGAAGTTTATTTATTATTTATTCATCCATTTGTCTTTCATTTTCATTCATACTGCAATATTATATTTTATTACAAATATAATATACATGTATAATGACCATTTAAACTTAATACAAATATTAAATTAAGATTATTT